ACCTTTAGGTCCTCAAGCCCTGTATTCCAGAGGTAGCTATAGGTCCTCAAGTCCTGTATTCCAAAGGTACCTTTAGGTCCTCAAGTCCTACATTCTAGAGGTACATTTAGGTCCTTACGTCCTATACTCCAGAGGTACCTTTAGGTCCTCAAGCCCAGTATTCCAGAGGTAGCTATAGGTCCTCAAGTCCTATACTCCAGAGGTACCTTTAGGTCCTCAAGCCCTGTATTCCAGAGGTACCTTTAGGTCCTCAAGTCCTATATTCTAGAGGTACCTTTAGGTCCTCAAGTCCTATACTCCAGAGGTACCTTTAGGTCCTCATGTCCTATATTCTGGAGGTACCTTCAGGTCCTCAAGTCTTGTATTCCAGAGGTACGTTTAGGTCCTCAAGTCCTATGTTCCAGAGGTACCCTTGGGTCCGCATCTCCTATATTCTAGAGGTACTCTTAAGTCTTCAAATCCTTTATGAGGGAAGTACCCTTGAGTTCTCATCTCTTATGTGCGAGTGGTACACGTTTTTCTTCATCTCTTACTTCGTGGAATGAGCCTTATTCCCATTTCACTTGTTGGCCACGAACATGTATAAAATTGGCCACACAATAACTTGTTTGTTGCTAAGAGCGGTTTATTTCCTTTTATCTATCTTTCACAATTGTCTTCGGTCATTCGAAGTGATCCAAACACGCTAGCCAAAAGAATGTGGTTCAATTCACATAGACAAAATACTGCAATGAAATACGACTACAAAGCGACAAACTCAGGTCAAATTCACCCGAACGAACCCAAATATTTGTAGGACACCCATAGGTCCTCAAGGGCTACCTTATCGGGGTACCCATAGGTCCCCAAGGGCTACTCTTTAGGGGTACCCATTGGTCCTCAAGGGCTACCCTATAGGAGTACCATAGGTCATCAAGGGCTACACTATGGAGATACCCATAGGTCCTCAACGGTTATCCTATAGGGGTACCCTAGGCCCTCAAGCGGTACCTTATAGGGGTACCCTTAGGTCCTCAACGACTACTCTATTGGGGTACTCATAGGTCTTCAAGTTCTACCCCATAGCGGTACCCATAGGTATTCAAGGGCTACCCTATAGGGGTACCCATAGGTCCTCAAGGGCTACCTTATAGGGGTACCCATAGGTCCCCGAGGGCTACCTTAGAGGGGTACTCATAGGTCCACAAGGGCCACCCTATAGGGGTACCAGAGGTCATCAAGGACTACACTATAGAGGTACCCATAGATCCTCAACGGCTACTCTATAGGGGTACTCATAGGTCCTCAAGTTCTACCCTATAGGGGTACCCATAGGTATTCAAGGGCTACCCTATTGGGGTACCGTAGGTCCTCAAGGGCTGTCTTATAGGGGTACCTATAGGTCCTCAACGGCTACCCTATAGGGGTACCCATCGGTCCTGAAGGGCTACCCTCTACGAATAAACATAGGTTCTAAAATTCTATCACAGTGGGGTACCTCAAGGTGCTCAACTCCCATTATAGAGTGGTAGCTCGAGGTGCTCAAGTCCTATTATATTTGGATATCTCGAGTTCCTCAACTGGTATTATGGTGGGATACTGCAAGATGTTCAAGTCCTATTATCGATTGGTACTTCGAGGTCATCAAGTTCCACTATAGAGAGACAGTGATCGATCGTGAGCCTGCATGTTGCAGAGGTTTCGATATGAGCCAGAACTCGATTATACAGTGATACCCATAGGTGGTAAAGTGGTGTTCTACAGGGTAACCTTGGTTTTTCAACGTCCATGATAACAAGTTACCCTGAGATCGTGAAGCGCTGCTGCAGAAATAGGATTATGTCATCAACAATGACCAGAAAGGATACCCTGGCGTTCTTGAATCCTGTCACACCGATGATTATGGAAGAAATTGAAAAAAAAACAAGAATAAATCTTTTGCATCAATGAGCGACCAATCCGTCGGAATATGGTGTCATTGATTAAACGCGTAAAGGTGCATACATATACCGTCATCCTATAGAGCATTGTCGATAACTGCATGGTTGGTTCGAGATGACTACTTGTTGTTGGAGCAATAAGAAAAAGGCTTTCCGAAATCTGATTGGTTGATTTTGGGACCAATTATATTGGAAGATGCGATGTTATTGGAAGAGAAACAACCGATACCCACACACATTTCCATCAATCGATAGAGCATCGTTGATAACTCTAGGGTTCGCCCGGACCGCACTAGTCGTTCTTCGAGCAACAAGTAATGGGCTTCTGAAATCTCATGGGTTGATTTTTGGAGCCATCAGATTGCGAGATTCTATTTCATCGGCGGAGAAAGAGTCGAGACCTACACATATACCCATCAATCGACAGAGCGTCCTCGATCGCCCTAGGATTCACCTGAAGCTGACTAATGGTTGTTCCAGTAATAAGAAAATAAAGGGCTGCCGATATATCATTGATGAATTTTTGAACCAATGAGATTGTGAGATTCTATTTCATCCGAAAAAAAGGAGCGTGACCTACTCATATACCCATGAATCGACAGAGCATCCTCGGCAGCCCTAGGGTTGGCTCGAACATGACTAGTGGTTCTCCAGACAAATAGTTAAGGGAACGCATCTTCAAATCTAGTTGTTGGAAGTTGGATAAATAAGATTTCAGGAAGAGTGTTGGTTGACGCTGTCGTGACAATGACAAGTGATGTTTGGGGTGGTCTCCAAAATTTTCACCGCGCTTTCTTCTATAATGGATTTGTTCAGGGCTCCGAGTTGTATTCCACGGAGATAAAGTACGCCTGAGGAGTAGTTCATGCTCTTTGTGTGTGGTTGAGGAGGATTCGAGTTTTCACCTCGTACTACAAATGGTTTTTAAGGAGCAAAGGATACTCAAGAATAGCACGCTTGGGTGGAGAAGTGCGTCGAATAAGATGATTTGAGGATGCATGGTTACAACGAATACTAGGATATGTCGGCATAAGATTACCCTTCCAGTATTGCTTGTGAATGAATCACTCCTGCTTTACCGGCCGCACATTGCGACCTAAGAGTACCCACACACTATTAGTTGATGGTCGCAGGTTGCGCCTAAAGAAGTAGGTCTGGAGAACCTAATGGTTTCTGTATATAGTGAGACTTTGCGATATAACGGTAGCGCTCAATACTCGAACTTGAGGGCGCTAGCGTAATCCCAACACAAGGACTCGTCGATCCAAGGGTACCTCTAAATGGTAGCACTGCAGGATCTAGAGGTACATCTTGAGGTGCCCAGAATAGAACGAATTGAAGACCCAGTAGTATCTCTGACTTGACAAAATGGAGGATCCAGGGGTACCACCTAATAGTGGTACTTTAGGACCCCAGAGTACCCTTGAATAGTCGAACTTCCGGATCTAAGTGTACCCGTGTATTGAGACTTGAGGACTGAGGGGGTTGGTTCTATAGTAGAGCCCGAGCAGCCACTGGACCCCCTATAGCATGGTATGGGGACTCTAAAGTGCCCCCATAGGATAATCATCAAGGAACTTGGGACAATCGTGTAGGACAGTCCTTGAGGACACATAGATACCCCTATATGGTCACCCTTGGGAATCCATGGATACCCTATAGGGTCGGCCTTGAGGACCTCTCAGTACCCCTATATAGTAGCCCTTGAGGACCTATGGATATCTCTACAGTATAGCCCATGAGGACTTATGGTTACCTCCATAGGATAGCCCTTGAGAACTTATGGGTACCTCTACAGTATAGCCCATGAGGACCTATGGGTACCTCTGTATAATAGTCCTTGAGGAACTATGGGTACCTTCATATAATAGCCCTTGGCGTCTTCCTCTTATAGCCTTATATGACCATTAACCCTTGACCTTTGACCTGGCACAGAGAAATAGACACGCACACACTGAACATTATATATATAGATATGAGTTTTATAGAGTTATTGATGATTAATTTTCCTCAGTATTCACTCTTTCATTCTGAGTTTTGATGAAATGCTCCGCATTTCTGTTCATTGGGATTTAAGAGGGTATAGCATGACTCTGAGTTTGGCAGTAATAAACGTACAACATCATATGATAAAATACAAATAGTTTATCTGAATTTCTATTTTATATTCAAGTGCTAGATTTTGCAGCACTGCGTATTAAAAAAAATTCTAGTAAATGATCGACGGGCTCAGATATGTTTATGTAAATACAATGTTTTAATTATTTGACTTTAGTCATTGAGTTTTTATTTTTATATAAACAGTAAAAAAAATATTTAATAAAGGCATATCATTTTAACAGTCATTATAATTTTCTAATTCAAATATTTTCATTTGTTGTTCGTTTTATCTAAACAAATGAAGGAAAAATAGAGAAATAATAAAACCATAAAATATGTTATATGCATATAATAGACAAAGAAAACATATATTTATACGTCGAATAGTTAAAAATTCGAATTATTAAAGTTCAAAGCTGAACAGCTTCAAAATGGATTAGTTGACAGAGAAATTGAATACTCGAAGCAACTATTCGTCTTATACATATATGCTTCAACAAGAAACATACGAACGGATGCAGCTATATATACCTGATGATGAAAAAGGAGTATAGAAGAACTACTATCAAATATATCTAACAGGTTATTAAATGTTAATGATGTCTCTTCAGAAAATGTATCACCAATGAATTGTATATATTTATTTGATTTTTTTTTGACTAAAGCAACATTGTCACTATAAGCACTAATACACAGTAAAGCAGTTGCACCATAATTGTATTTCTTATCATCCATATCACGTAAACAAATATGATTATCTAATGGATTATTTTCAACTTTCGAATTGATACAAGTCTAAAAGTAGTAAAAGAAATTTTTTTATTAAATGAAATTTTTCTAGAACAAATTGATAAATAAAGATATAATTCAAAATATATTAACTAACGACGTCTTCCATGAGACATCGAAAGGAGAATAGAGACGACACAAGCTATTGATAATAGCGTCAAAAAAAAAAATATATATATATATACTTATTGTGACACAATATTAAAAATGTCATTGTAAAAGATAATTCTTTTAGTAATAGAGATCTTAGTTTGAAGGTTGTAGGAATTTAAAAAAAAAGAAATGAAAATAAAGCAGATAGTTGAAATCAATGAAAAAGGATTAAAATCATAGCTAAAAACTTTTCTACAGAGTGAGTTGTTCTTCATATCTAACAGGTGAATATATCATATGATCTAAATGATTTGGAACCTATATATATATATATATATATATATATATCATGTACAACAAACAAAAATGAAAAAAAACTCACAATTAAACAAGATGGGCATTTAAGAAAAACTTGTTTATGAATATCCATCTCAAGATTATTTGTTGAATTATTACAATTATTGCATATCCAGTTAGTATTATTTTGGTTCATGTTATTAGACAGTACTGGATAACCGACGAGTTGATTATTCATATTTTGTTTGAAGAGAAATATTTGATTATCCGATGATGAAAGATTATCAGGTGTATCACCACAAAAAATGCAACGAAAATAGGATTTAATATTGGCATTAAGTTTATCATTTAGTTCATGAAATTGAGGATTGGTTTCAATTATTGAACAAACCTCTTGAATTGTCCTGCATGATTGAATATTATTAAATGAAGTAAAATTTGCATCCATTGTACATTTAAAAATTGCTTGAAAAAGATTAAATTTAGTTTTGTTATTAATACGCTCAAACACCAAAATTCCTAATCAAATAAAAAGCATGCGTTAAACTATTTTAAAAAACTAAATTAATAAATAATAAGTATATTTTTGGAAAACAAAGCAAAATTAAAAAACCAATTTCTTTAAAATAATAAGTAGTAATACTTACGACTATGAGCGAAAAGACGTTTGAGTAAATCACCATTACCAATTACTCTTTTATTGATACTTGTTGACCAACTTTTCTTTATTTTTGTTACCCGTACCATCAAATCATTTCCAGCTGATCGCATTATACTATTAAAACAAACTAAATTGTACATAGCGGATGATGGAAAACCAAGAGCCCGCCAATCAGCGAATGGATTAAGAGAAACAAAATCAGGTGGTTTCCTATATTTGATATCTATTGGCGACTCATTGATGTGAACAATTAATACTGAAGGAAATTCTGTAACATCAATATGTCGAGTTGTAGGTTTACTACAAGATGTGCATAAGATATCAGAAGGACTTCGTTCAAAAAAAGAATTTATATCGTTGTTCAAATGAAGACCAGTTCGATGAATATTGATGGGTATTGATGTAATTGTGTTTTTTATTTTCATTTTTTTTTCACAATTACTACACGAATATATTTTATTAACAACTAAATGACATGGAAGTAATGGTGTTAAAATTTTTTCTAGAATAAATGTAGACTGCTGTTGAAAACTATTAGGTAACATATCTGTTGGTAAAGAAAAACTGATTGTTGTTGAACGTGGATTATTAGTTTGAGTTAATGTTGAACTAGACCATTCTTCTATAAACGTATTAACAATATCAAGTAACGGACAATTATGATTTAATGATGATGATGAAAGTTCATAACGACCACCAGTTTCATTTCCTGTTGAGAGTAATAAACCTATAGCAACGTTCAGCCAATTCGGTGTTAAATTTGGTAATTTAAGATCAACATTGACATCATTCCTACTCAATAGAAGTAATGAAACAAGATCAGCAAAAACTGACTGTTGGGGAGCTTTTGAATAATAACCACGACCTCTTTTGCTGACTATTTTTCCCCACCGTTCCTCAATAGGCTTTAATCGTCGTTCATCTAATAATGTTGATGAATTATTTGAATCAATTTGTGAAATCATGAAATGAGTCATAACTGCATTCGAATATTCATCAATTAAAACTAACATATCAGGAATAATAATTGACAAAAGAACATCTAATCGTAGATAGATTTGACCACCTACAAGTATCATCGAAAAGAATTAACATCTTAAAAAAATATGTTTTTGTGTAAAACCATCTATGAAAAAAAATAAGAATTCTCTATTTAATTTTTAAAAGAATTCATTAAAATTCTACATCCATTTTTTTGGATGATTTAATGTTCTATTATTATCATTTTGTTAATAAAGATTACGATAAAATATGTAGTTTACCTAACTGCGTGCGTTTTAGTATTCCCATTCTCCTTTCGCTTATTGCTGTTGTTCGTTGTTCAAGTTGAGCAACACAAAAATTTTCGAATGATTTGACAGCAAGTCGACGATGACGACTTGCATTTCCTATATTAAACATCATTAATAGTAATATGTTAATTTTAAAGAAACAATTTTTACCTAACAACATGTTTGACCATATCGGGGCTGTCGGCATAAAATATCTATTTAAGTATTTGAACCATTTCAAAATACCCGAAGCTCGAGCACCAAAAACATCTTCTTTTGATATTCCAGTATCAATAAGTGCATCATAGAATATTTTATTAATAACAGTTTTAAATTTTGAATTGGTACTATTTGTTTCTTGTTCTTCATCAACAATTATCTGTATTAAAAGAAAGACAAATTTTGAAGAAAGGTAAAACAGACAAAAACTCCAGGTGCAATTTCTATCAAATTATTCAGACGAATACTATTGAAGTTTTAATAGAAAAATATCAGAAGCATTCGTGATTTAACGCTGATTTTCACAGAATGAAGAAATGACAATATGATATTTTTTCATTACTTAATTTATATATCCAAAAGACAAACATTTGAATTATTATGTACACTCAATAGAAAAAATGCAACTATTTTTTTAGAAATCATTTTGAAACAGGTGAACCCAAGTAAGAAAATTTGGGTAGTAAGAGAATAATGATTTTTTTTAACCTCAAAATTTGTTTTAATCTTAGAATTTTTAAAAAAGGTTTAGCAAAACAAAATTTCCAAATCTTATGAGGATTACTCAGTATTCGTAATCCTCTCTCGATCTCCAGATCTCTATATGAAAGGATTATTTATTTATTGTATGATTTCTTTTATCACATTGTTAAAAATTTGCCCAATCAATCAATTTTCATACATTTTTTGTTTTTGTTTTTAAAAATCTATTATTTGGTTCGGGATCATCATCGTCATCATATTTATCATCAAAGAAGTTATAAATATTTGAGTCATATAAATTTGTTGGATTATCACTTTCAAAATTATTAGAAGATTTAACAGCATTATAAGTATTAGAATCAGATTTAATTTTTCGTATTTTATCTAATAATATATCTAGATGTTTTTGTTGTACATGTTTTCCATCAAGATGTATTTGAAGAAAAACAAGACAGATTAGTTGCCAATTATGTTTAAATTCTATCCATGTACAGCTATTTATCAATAGCGCAATACTCCATATTGCAAGTTCACGATATTCTTTAATGATAAACTTGTTGATAGTTCGACGTGTATCCTATGTAAAAAAAACAAATACATAGAAAATTAATGAATAAACTTACAATTAAAACATGTGCCATGCAGGCGTGTATATTAGTTAATTGAAGATCTTCATTAGTAGCATCTCCATTGACAATACGATAAGATCTATCCAAAAAGTCCTGCATTTTTTCATTATTCCAAACTTTAATAGCGGCACAAAGGAAGACTTGAGCTCTATCGCTCAAGATTAATTTAGGTTTCGGGAATTCTTTGCCTACGAAAACCTAAAGAGAATAATGTCTTATAACATAAAAGTAAAAAAAATTCAAAATATTTACTTGTGAATAGTGGTATTTGAATAGCTCCAACCAATGAATAATATCAATTAAGGAATGAGAAGAACTGATCATTGACGATATTGGTATTAATCCATCCTCTGATACTACACCTGGTAGCGTCATTGTTAATTCATAGTACAGATACTTAGGTGAGTTATTTTGTTCTCTGATTATTGCTCCGGTAGCATCCCATGATATTGTGATATTTTTTTGATTTATCAAGGAGTCAAACAAACGAATAGCTGTTTCCGTAAATATAATAATTTTCGATGGATGCTTTGATATTAATTGTATAGCTCCTGTTACTTTTCCATCTATATTGATCTCATTTTTATATTTTTCATATAACTTGGATAAACCATAATCTACATCAGGTGCTAGTAGTGATTCACAAGTTGTCTCGGATTTTATTTTTCGTAATATTTGACGACTCCTTCCAACCCTGTCATAATTATTTGCATTCTTTTCATGAATACTTCTCTTCTGCATTTCTTCCTGGTATATTCGATATACCGATGCTCTGTTCTTAAATTTCTCTTTGAATAAACTTCGTATAGGTTCACGAATTGGTCGGGATATTTTGATACCGGGAGCATGTCGAACTGTTGTATTATTAACAATTATATGGCCTTGACCATTATTTAAAACAATAATAGAACAATTAAAATTACATATTGGTTTTCCGGAACAATAAAGTGAACATCTTAATAATTGATTACGATCTTTTGTTGTTTGACCAAACGTACAATTGCGAACACACAATGCACAGTATGTATTGAATTTTTTAATATATGGTAACAGAATGTAAAAATATTCAACATCAACTCTTGATTCTTTTTTTTGTATTTCTTGATTTGAATCATATGATGTACCTAAAAATATTTAAAAAAAAGATGTTACAAAATATGTGTGATTATTGTTTAAAGGTATATATTTATGCTATAACTACTTACTTATATTATTATTAATTGCATTTGTTTTTATTGTTTTCGAAATGAAAATTTTCTTTTTATTGGTTGTTTTATCTATTTCGATTGGCAATCCCATGGCTTTATAAAGACGAGCTTCTTTTTTATTGTTTTTTTTTGTTCTAATTGATTGCAATTTCACCAAGTCAACTGGTTGGAGCTTGAAATCAGACGAAGACGGTAATTGAATATGAAAATCTTCTTGTTCATTTCGATTTTCATCAAGTACATCTAATTGTGAACCTAAAATAATACAAATGAATAAGCAGTTGTAAAGACAACATTATCATATAAATTTGCTATTAGATCTGGGTATCATATACAAATCCATATAAGTGTATATAATCAGTAGCTCTTTTTCACGAAATATCAGGCTGCTATCAGACGATGGCATACATATGTGAAATCTTTTTTTGGTATTTAAGCCCGTTTTGGAAAGTCACTGTTCATTAGAGAATACAGGTTATCTAACAAATTAATTATATTTCAAGGTATTGCAAATAAAGATTCTGATAAATGTATATCTATATAGTATCGTTTAAAATATGAAGGAATATAAATACGACTTCACAAAAATTCTTCTCGGTCCTCGAAAATGTAATAATTATTTTGTGTCGTAAATAACTAGTTTACGAAATATATTTTGTTGCAACATCAATAAATTTTTAACTAACCGGTACTGATTTTTGAAAGTCTCGAAAGTCGTGTTGCTTCATCAGATAATTGATTGGAATCATTTCTAAATGAAATATGAGATTTATTTGTTAATGGTACTGGTAGTAATTGAGATGACAAAGATGAACATGATGTATCTGGTGAATTTGAATAATCTATAATACCAAAACATTCTTTGTGATAGTATTTTATAAATATTTACCTGGATATTGATTTTTATAATTTGTTTTTGGTATAATTTCGATTCGGCTTTCGGTTCGGTATTTGATCAAATCAAGATTATTTTCTAACGAAAAATTCTTATGTAATATGATATCTTCTGGTGTTGAAGAATGATTAAAATCAATATCTTGGATAAAAAAAACAAACATTTTAAAAAAGTACATAAGTTTAAAATTACTTTCACGTGTTTCTGGTGATTGTTTGTTCGTGATGAAACAGCTTCTTTGAAGAATTTTTGGTGGAGATCGATCATCAAAATCGGAAATATTTGAAATTAAGTTTGTCGAGATCTAGAAGAATATATTATTATATAGACATTATCACAAGAAAAGGTTTTTTCCTTACTGGAGAACAATCATCAAAATTTCTACTTGTTTGAACATTACGATGTATAGGTGTTGAAGAAAACGAGACTTGTGATGATGGTATAAATAATTCATTGATTTCTTTTCTATATAAATTTCTTTTTTCTGCTGATAATTTTGTATACCACAAAATATATGAGTTATTATCAGAAAATACAGTTTTTGGATTGGTTGAAGTTACTAACTCGTCGTTGATTTTATACCATAAATTATCTGGTGAACGAATGTATACAAGTATATGGCCATTGTTGGCAGTTTTTCCTAAATGTACTACAACTGCATATAACATGTATATATATTCATCAGATTGATGATTTTTTTGGACTTCTTCTGATGCATTATTATTAGCGACATAGGGCGCAATATTAAGAAATTCAGGATACGAAATAAAATGTGTCAATTTTCGAGTTAATTTTTTACTTTGATCATAAATAAAACGTTTCAAGTGGATTATAATAATAGATGATGTGTTAGCAAGTTGTAATGATTGTAATGCTGTTGTTTTGCTGTGACATTGTGAACATTGAAGAGCATTATCACCTGTTAATTTTTCTTTCGAGCAAAATGCGGCCAAAGATTCTTGCAGATTATAATAAGAAACAATTGGAATGGACCAAATAGTTTCGTAATTCATTTTAATTATTTGAATTTGACAACTTGTACATGTAATTGATGATTTAATATTAATTCCAAATATGGAATGAAGTGGATTACATAAATATGTTGAAAATGATGTGTTATCATTTGAAGAAATGCATTGCATGAAATGATTTAAAAGAACAATTAAAAATTCAGATGGATCTTCTTGTTGACCAGGAACAAAACTTGAAGATAATTCCGTGATTCGTCGTGCAATTTGAAAAGCCGATGCTTGACCTAATTCACAAAATAAATTAGATTTATTATAAATATGAGGATGAATATTCATGATGATTGAACGAAGAGCACAAACGGAACATAATTGACCAAAACGTGTTAATTCACCTATAAAATAAAAATATAGTCATAAAAATATTCTTAAATTAACAACTTCATGCTATGTTGAAAACAAAAATGGGATTACACTCGAAATACGTTTTTCTTCAAATAGTACTTTTTATATTAATGGATAGTCGGCATTGAATATTATATTATGAGTAGCATAGTTTGCTGAACGTAAACTGCACCTGTAAATTACTGGATATTTTTTCTGAAAGAAAATAATACATTGACATCTTTAGACGAAATCAAAAAGAACAAAATCTTCTAGCAAATATTCCTATAATTTACTCCACATTCTTTATACGATATCTGAAATTCATTGGCTCTACAAATTTAGTTCCGTAGATTATCTCAAATAGTTATTTCTAATTTTATTCCAAAGCAAAATCATATCCTTGATAAGATTGAAACTTGATATTTTGGTAAAAAGATATGCGTTGAACTAATATCCTATTTGATGATAGATGAAGATCTAATCAGCATCAAAAAATTAAAATAATCGATTATCCCATCATTATTATAAAACAAAATCATTTTTACAGTTCACTATGCTTTTTCTAGCGTATTCATTTTTATGATTCGATATCACCTATTTTACATTTCATTGGACAACGCCACTGTTTCACTTATTGTAATTGCTGTGTTCTTTCACTTACATGAACCATGATTTTCCTCATTCAACAACCATTGAACGAACGGTGCTGTATTTGCAAGACATTGAATAACCGAGTTCATGTAACATAAATTTAAACACTTTGTTAAATCTTTATTTAGAAGTCCGATGCCACGCACATGCACTAATGACCATTCCAATTTGAGCTCAGATTCGATTAATGGATGAATATGATGACATAATTTCTTCAAACGTTTTGATTGTCGTTCTTCAATTTGATTCATCCCTATATCGGAAAACCCTACATTTTAGTAACATAAACGACATCTTAATGAATATAAAACCTAACCATCAATTTCTTCTACAATATCATTTGATTTACGTTTACAACTACATGAAGAATTGTATGTCACTGATGTTAATGAACAACCTAATACTAAACAGTTCACTAAACTATAAGAAAATTTTTATAACAAAAAAAAAATTACCATCTAATTCTTCATCAATATCATGTGATTTACATTTCCGCCTTGATGTTCCATTATTGTTAATAGAAGAAGATAAAGAATTTAATTCTAAAAATTTAATTAAATTATTAGGAAACTTTCATAATAAAAAAAAACACTTTCCATCTAATTCTTCATCAATATCACGTGATTTATGTTTACGAATTGATGTTCGACCATTGTTAATAGAAGAAGATGAAGAACTTAATTCTATAAATGTAAATAAATTATTAGGAAATTTTCATAATAAAAAAAAACACTTTCCATCTAATTCTTCATCAATATCATGTGATTTACGTTTACGAATTGATGTTCGACCATTGTTAATAGAAGAAGA